GAAAAAGAATAAAATGATGAGAGGAGGAGTGGAAGAGAAAAGAGCAATAAAGATAAAGTAAGAAGTTAAGGAAAGAAAAAAGAGAGAAGATGAAAAAGAATAAAATGATGAGAGGATGGGTGGAAGAGAAAAGAGCAATAAAGATAAAGTAAGAAGTTAAAGAAAGAAAAAAGAGAGAAGATGAAAAAGAATAAAATGATGAGAGGGTGGGTGGAAGAGAAAAGAGCATTAATGATAAAGTAAGAAGTTAAAGAAAGAAAAAAGAGAGAAGATGAAAAAGAATAAAATGATGAGAGGATGGGTGGAAGAGAAAAGAGCAATAAAGATAAAGTAAGAAGTTAAAGAAAGAAAAAGAGAGAAGATGAAAAGAATAAAATGATGAGAGGGTGGGTGGAAGAGAAAAGAGCATTAATGATAAAGTAAGAAGTTAAGGAAAGAAAAAGAGAGAAGATGAAAAGAATAAAATGATGAGAGGATGGGTGGAAGAGAAAAGAGCATTAATGATAAAGTAAGAAGTTAAATAAAGAAAAAGAGAGAAGATGAAAAGAATAAAATGATGAGAGGGTGGGTGGAAGAGAAAAGAGCATTAATGATAAAGTAAGAAGTTAAGGAAAGAAAAAAGAGAGAAGATGAAAAAGAATAAAATGATGAGAGGATGGGTGGAAGAGAAAAGAGCATTAATGATAAAGTAAGAAGTTAAATAAAGAAAAAAGAGAGAAGATGAAAAAGAATAAAATGATGAGAGGATGGGTGGAAGAGAAAAGAGCATTAATGATAAAGTAAGAAGTTAAATAAAGAAAAAAGAGAGAAGATGAAAAAGAATAAAATGATGAGAGGATGGGTGGAAGAGAAAAGAGCATTAATGATAAAGTAAGAAGTTAAAGAAAGAAAAAAGAGAGAAGATGAAAAAGAATAAAATGATGAGAGGGTGGTGGAAGAGAAAAGAGCATTAATGATAAAGTAAGAAGTTAAGGAAAGAAAAAAGAGAAGATGAAAAGAATAAAAATGATGAGAGGATGGGTGGAAGAGAAAAAGAGCAATAAAGATAAAGTAAGAAGTTAAAGAAAGAAAAAGAGAGAAGATGAAAAAGAATAAAATGATGAGAGGGTGGAAGAGAAAAAAGCATTAATGATAAAGTAAGAAGTTAAGGAAAGAAAAAGAGAGAAGATGAAAAGAATAAAATGATGAGAGGATGGGTGGAAGAGAAAAGAGCATTAATGATAAAGTAAGAAGTTAAATAAAGAAAAAGAGAGAAGATGAAAAGAATAAAATGATGAGAGGATGGTGGAAGAGAAAAGAGCAATAATGATAAAGTAAGAAGTTAAAGAAAGAAAAAGAGAGAGATGAAAAGAATAAAATGATGAGAGGATAGGTGGAAGAAAAGAGCAATAAAAGATAAAGTAAGAAGTTAAAAAAAAAAAAGAGAGAAGATGAAAAAAGAATAAAATGATGAGAGGGTGGTGGAAGAGAAAAAGAGCATTAATGATAAAGTAAGAAGTTAAGGAAAGAAAAAAGAGAGAAGATGAAAAAGAATAAAATGATGAGAGGATGGGTGGAAGAGAAAAGAGCAATAAAGATAAAGTAAGAAGTTAAAGAAAGAAAAAAGAGAGAAGATGAAAAAGAATAAAATGATGAGAGGGTGGGTGGAAGAGAAAAGAGCATTAATGATAAAGTAAGAAGTTAAGGAAAGAAAAAAGAGAGAAGATGAAAAAGAATAAAATGATGAGAGGATAGGTGGAAGAGAAAAGAGCAATAAAGATAAAGTAAGAAGTTAAAGAAAGAAAAAAGAGAGAGATGAAAAAGAATAAAATGATGAGAGGATAGGTGGAAGAGAAAAGAGCAATAAAGATAAAGTAAGAAGTTAAAGAAAGAAAAAAGAGAGAAGATGAAAAAGAATAAAATGATGAGAGGATGGGTGGAAGAGAAAAGAGCAATAAAGATAAAGTAAGAAGTTAAAGAAAGAAAAAAGAGAGAAGATGAAAAAGAATATAATGATGAGAGGATGGGTGGAAGAGAAAAGAGCATTAATGATAAAGTAAGAAGTTAAAGAAAGGAAAAAGAGAGAAGATGAAAAAGAATATAATGATGAGAGTATGGGTGGAAGAGAAAAGAGCAATAAAGATAAAGTAAGAAGTTAAGGAAAGAAAAAAGAGAGAAGATGAAAAAGAATAAAATGATGAGAGTATGGGTGGAAGAGAAAAGAGCAATAAAGATAAAGTAAGAAGTTAATGAAAGAAAAAAGAGAGAAGATGAAAAAGAATAAAATGATGAGAGGATGGTGGAAGAGAAAAGAGCAATAAAAGATAAAGTAAGAAGTTAAGGAAAGAAAAAGAGAAGATGAAAAGAAGAATAAAATGATGAGAGGATGGGTGGAAAGAAAAGAGTAATAATGATAAAGTAAGAAGTTAAGGAAAGAAAAAGAGAGAAGATGAAAAGAATAAAATGATGAGAGGATGGGTGGAAGAGAAAAGAGCAATAAAGATAAAGTAAGAAGTTAAAGAAAGAAAAAGAGAAGATGAAAAAGAATATAATGATGAGAGGATGGGTGGAAGAGAAAAGAGCAATAAAGATAAAGTAAGAAGTTAAAGAAAGAAAAAAGAGAGAAGATGAAAAAGAATAAAATGATGAGAGGATGGGTGGAAGACAAAAGAGCATTAATGATAAAGTAAGAAGTTAAAGAAAGAAAAAAGAGAGAAGATGAAAAAGAATATAATGATGAGAGTATGGGTGGAAGAGAAAAGAGCAATAAAGATAAAGTAAGAAGTTAAGGAAAGAAAAAAGAGAGAAGATGAAAAAGAATAAAATGATGAGGGGATGGGTGGAAGAGAAAAGAGCAATAAAGATAAAGTAAGAAATTAAGGAAAGAAAAAAGAGAGAGATGAAAAAGAATAAAATGATGAGAGGATAGGTGGAAGAGAAAAGAGCAATAAAGATAAAGTAAGAAGTTAAGGAAAGAAAAAAGAGAGAGATGAAAAAGAATAAAATGATGAGAGGATAGGTGGAAGAGAAAAGAGCAATAAAGATAAAGTAAGAAGTTAAGGAAAAAAAAAGAGAGATGATGAAAAGAATAAAAATGATGAGAGGATAGGTGGGAAAAAAAGAGCATTAATGATAAAGTAAGAAGTTAAGGAAAGAAAAAGAGAAGATGAAGATGAAAAGAATAAAATGATGAGAGTATGGTGGAAGAGAAAAGAGCAATAAAGATAAAGTAAGAAGTTAAAGAAAGAAAAAAGAGAGAAGATGAAAAAGAATAAAATGATGAGAGTATGGGTGGAAGAGAAAAGAGCAATAAAGATAAAGGAAGAAGTTAAGGAAAGAAAAAAAAAGAGAGATGAAAAAGAATAAAATGATGAAGGATGGATGAGAGCAATAAAGATAAAGTAAGAAGTTAAGGAAAAAAAAGAGAAGATGAAAAAAGAATATAATGATGAGAGGATGGGTGGAAGAGAAAAAGCAATAAAGATAAAGGAAGAAGAAAGAAAAAAGAGAGAAGATGAAAAAGAATAAAATGATGAGAGGATGGTGGAAGAGAAAAGAGCAATAAAGATAAAGTAAGAAGTTAAAGAAAGAAAAAAAGAGAGAAGATGAAAAGAATAAAATGATGAGAGATGGGTGAAGAGAAAAGAGCAATAAAGATAAAGGAAGAAGTTAAGAAAAAAAGAGAAGATGAAAAAGAATAAAATGATGAGAGGATGGTGGAAGAGAAAAGAGCAATAAAAGATAAAGTAAGAAGTTAAAGAAAGAAAAAAGAGAGAAGATGAAAAAGAATAAAATGATGAGAGTATGGGTGGAAGAGAAAAGAGCAATAAAGATAAAGGAAGAAGTTAAGGAAAGAAAAAAGAGAGAAGATGAAAAAGAATAAAATGATGAGAGGATGGGTGGAAGAGAAAAGAGCAATAAAGATAAAGTAAGAAGTTAAAGAAAGAAAAAAGAGAGAAGATGAAAAAGAATAAAATGATGAGAGGATGGGTGGAAGAGAAAAGAGCAATAAAGATAAAGTAAGAAGTTAAAGAAAGAAAAAGAGAGAAGATGAAAAGAATAAAATGATGAGAGTATGGGTGAAAGAGAAAAGAGCAATAAAGATAAAGGAAGAAGTTAAGGAAAGAAAAAAGAGAAGATGAAAAGAATAAAATGATGAGAGGATGGGTGGAAGAGAAAAGAGCAATAAAGATAAAGTAAGAAGTTAAAGAAAGAAAAAGAGAGAAGATGAAAAAAGAATAAAATGATGAGAGGATAGGTGGAAGAGAAAAGAGCAATAAAGATAAAGTAAGAAGTTAAAGAAAGAAAAAAGAGAGAAGATGAAAAAGAATAAAATGATGAGAGAGTGGGTGGAAGAGAAAAGAGCAATAAAGATAAAGGAAGAAGTTAAGGAAAGAAAAAAGAGAGAAGATGAAAAAGAATAAAATGATGAGAGTATGGGTGGAAGAGAAAAGAGCAATAAAGATAAAGTAAGAAGTTAAGGAAAGAAAAAAGAGAGAAGATGAAAAAGAATAAAATGATGAGAGTATGGGTGGAAGAGAAAAGAGCAATAAAGATAAAGTAAGAAGTTAAGGAAAGAAAAAAGAGAGAAGATGAAAAAGAATAAAATGATGAGAGGATGGGTGGAAGAGAAAAGAGCAATAAAGATAAAGGAAGAAGTTAAAGAAAGAAAAAGAGAGAAGATGAAAAAGAATAAAATGATGAGAGGGTGGTGGAAGAGAAAAGAGCATTAATGATAAAGTAAGAAGTTAAGGAAAGAAAAAAGAGAAGATGAAAAAGAATAAAATGATGAGAGGATGGGTGGAAGAGAAAAGAGCATTAATGATAAAGTAAGAAGTTAAAAGAATGAAAAGAGAGAGAAGATGAAAAAAAGAATAAAATGATGAGAGGATGGGTGGAAGAAAAGAGCATTAATGATAAAGTAAGAAGTTAAGGAAAGAAAAAAGAGAGAAGATGAAAAAGAATAAAATGATGAGAGGATGAGTGGAAGAGAAAAGAGCAATAAAAGATAAAGTAAGAAGTTAAAGAAAGAAAAAGAGAAGATGAAAAGAATAAAATGATGAGAGAAGGAGGAAGAGAAAAGAACAATAAAGATAAAGTAAGAAGTTAAAGAATGAAAAAAGAGAGAAGATGAAAAAGAATAAAATGATGAGAGTATGGGTGGAAGAGAAAAGAGCAATAAAGATAAAGTAAGAAGTTAAGGAAAGAAAAAAGAGAGAAGATGAAAAAGAATAAAATGATGAGTGGAGTGGTGGGAAGAGAAAAGAGAAAGAAAAAAAAATGGTAAACCAAATTGACCAAAGAAAAAAACCCAAAGAAACTCAAAGAATGATGGAAGACAAATAAGAATGATAAATCAGTGATGTAGTGGGAAAAGTATCCAATCCAAAAACAAAAAAAAACAATAATTTAAGAAAAAAAAGACAAAGAATGTCATGTAAGCAGTATAAAATTAGAGTGATGTAAACACTGAAAGAAAGAAAACTTATTTATACAGTTACAATGGCACCCTCTAATTTTATATCTGAAAAGCAGTGTAATGAAAATGAGTGAGAAAAATATTGAATTGAAGTAGGTATGTTATTTATATTCTTATAATAGCACCTTCCATTTTCCAGTATAAAAAGCAGTATAAAGACATGTTATTTATACAGTTACAATGGCATTCTCTAGTACAGTTTTTATATTTGGATAGGAACTGTCCAGTCCTTACATTTTAGTCTCAATAGAATTCCAACGCATCTCTGAATCCTTGTGGGTGATGGATCATTTTCCACCCTCTAACCTCTCTTTCACAGCCAGAATGTGACCAGCCACCTGCTGCTCTATTGCTACTTCTACAGAAAGTGCTCAGATGAACTACATTCTTTGGTCCCGCCAGTCCTAACCTTCATGTTTAGGATCCACCATGCCACTTACATTGTCGCAATCCATCCATATTCCCTCTATATTCCATTGGTGAGAAGTAAGTTCCACTCAAACAGCTTCTTTCTGCAAACCCCTGCTCTGTGGAACAAACTCCCAAGCAGATGTTTCCCCAATCACAATCTACGAACTTAACGTGTTCAAGTCTAGGGTTAACCGTTATCTTCCCCTCCTATCTGTATAAACTGCCTCTTAACATAATCCTCTACCTCAAGTGGCACCAGGTCTCGTACAGGGAGAACCTTACTGTAAAAACAAAAAAAAATTGTAAAAAGCAGGATAAATATAGAATGTTATTTATATTATGATAATAGCATTTTCTATTTTTCTTTGTTAAATGCATGATTTTCATGGATAATGTCACCTACCATTTACAGTGCATACAAGGTGAGATTTTTGGTTAGTGTGATAAGATAATTTTAGAAGCTGGTGTAAATCACAAACTTTGGTGATCATACCATGGAAAATTATTTGCCTGGTATATTGTTGTAGCATACCTACGGATGATAATGCTCACATTCCTATAAATAAAGTAGTGAATACAGTACATGGTCTAGAGTTGGAGATTCATTGTGGAATTCACTTGACTTACTTCTAGTGGTTGACTACTACTTCTATGCGCTGCTGGTAAATCTTATATGTGTTGTTCTTGTCCTAAGTATTATTGTTCATTGCCAACTTTTGTTTGATTATTCTATTCCAGTAACCTTTACTAGGTTACAACACATATCCACAAGATAGACATTTATGGTAAATAAATTTACATGCCAAGTCATTATTGCCACACAAAAGTAGTTGTACATTATGAGAAGAACTGTTTTTTGTGGGGAGGGAGGAAGCATTTTTTTTTTATCATTTCACCCCCAGCAAGGCAATAAAGCCACTCAGATGCAAGGGTTTACTGAGTGTGAGAATATGTGAAAAAAAAAAAAAAAAACACTATTAAGGAACAATAAAAGAACAGGAATTAAGAAGACAGAACACAATGATTAGTATTGCATTTAAATTTTTGAAAAACAAAGTTGAATGGAAAACAAGAAGCCTGAAGAGATTTCCACAAGTGAGAAGTGTGAGCGGAGAAACTGTCAGCATAGAACTTATGAGCCATTTCAACTGTAAAATGATGAGACCATGATGCTGATCTAGTACTTCACTTAAATTCATAAAGTCTAGGTACCATAGAGGAAAGTTCATCAGAACAATTACCATGAAAGTATTTATAAAAAAACACAAGGAAGCTACATTCTCGCATTGGGAAAGTGACTGAATCTGAGATGCCAAATCAGGACCAATAACATTGCAGATTCTTCTTTGGATTTTATCAAGAATCTCTAAATATATAGCAGAAGCATCAGATTAAATATGATAACAATATCCAAATTAGAAAAATTGTCTGGCACAACACAGTGAACCAACTTTCTTAGCAGAAGACTTAGCAATTGATTCAATATAATCACTCCACTTTATGTCAGCAGAAAAAAAGGTTAGTCAATGAGTCACTGCCCTGGAGGTTAGCATCAGTCATGCTGATGGAAGGCAAAAAGAAGTTTCTCAAAGAATTAAAAGTGAGCAGTTTAATTTTGGAAGTGTTAAAATTAAAGTGCCACTCATTGCCCCAGTCAACAACAGATTGTAGGTCATTTTTGAGATCAGCTGCCAATTTGACTTCACTGAACTGATCAAACTTACTGTTAAGATGGGGAGGGGGGAAAATAGTTGTATCATCAGCATAGATACCAAGCTGAGATCTGATGATGTTAGAAAGGTCATTGATGAAAATTAAGAAAAACGTAGGTCCAAGGATAGAGCCCTTCAATTTGAAAAGATCTAGAAAAGTGGCCATTCATGACAACTTTCATTTTGTGATTTGATAAGAAAGACTGAATCAATTCAAAAATTAATCTAGAAATACCATAACCTTTCAACTAGTGAAGAAGACCAGCAAGCCAAACCCTATAAAATGCATTCACGATATCTAAAGTAACAGCCAGAGCTTTATCATTCTTATCTAAAGTCTGACAGACTCAGCAATAATCACTAATGCATCAGCAATTGACTCAGAAAAGCAAAAGCCATATTGCTTACCTGAAAGAAGATCCTGCAATGCAAGATGCTCAACCAATTCAGAGTTAATTAGAGCTTTTAGTACATGCCAAAAAGAAGTAGAAGCTAATAGGATCAGACAGTTCACCTGACTTCTTAAAGAGTGAGACTACAGAAGATGATTTCCAACCAGGAAAGCAAGCAGCAGCAGAGCATCTATTGTAGAATTTAGAAAGAACAGGAGACAGTTCAGGAGCACATTTCTTAAAGACTATTGCAGGGATATCATCAAGTTCATATACTTTGTAGGGATCTAGTTTAGAGAAGATAGCAGAAAGCCATGGATGGAGTTATATGCATATCAGTCAATAGAGACTGAATTCTAAGTGAAAAATCAAGCAAAGATACACCAAATGAGTCAAGAGTAGAATTTGATGAGAATTTACAAGCAAAACAGTCTGCTTTATCAGCAGAAGTTAACATCTCAAACTGAATGAAGAGAGGAAATACAGAAGACTTATTTAACACAATACTACAGAGCTGTTACTAGTCACGAAAACCAAAACAGTGCATCATTCTATCAGCAAACAAAGACTTTTAGAAGCATTTGTTGTGTTGTGTTCAGAACTATGACATTGATACAGCCAGAAAAAGTGATTCCTGTGGACTATAGCAGCTGAACAGGCTGGTGTGAACCAAGGAGAAGATTGTGGGTTCACTTGGTATTTCCAATAAGGTACAAAAGCATCAATGCCAGCTTTAACCCAAGAAGAAACCTATGTGACAAAATTCACAATAGGAAGCTTAAGAATATCAATCCAAGGGGTGTCTCAAAGAAAGTCACAAAATAAATCTCAATACATACACTGTTAACAGAAAGAAGTATTGTGAATAGGAGGTTCCTTTCTAATAAATGACAAAAGAAATATCAGCAGATACTACAGCATGATCCAAATTGCCAAGAGGACAGAGTTGTGATGCTTGACAAGAAGAGGTGGTAAGGAACAAAGCGAATAAAGAAGCATGTTGATCAGATTTATCAGGGAAATGAGTAAGGAAATCCACTATTTGACTGGGAAACTGAACAATGGGAAATGTTTAGGAAAAAGGTTTTAGAATGAAACCAGTTTACAGAACTTTTATTTATTTGGGACAAATAAACAAAATTGCCAATATATGCTCTTCGACAGAATGCATATCCCTGTCTGGGTTTTTGGGGCCCAATACAAAATTTTTCCATTTGTACAGAAAGAAATACAAATCATTTTGAAACTTAATTATAAACAATTATGAGAAGAAGTACAAGATGATGTGTGAAAAAAAGAAAAAGAGGAATTAAAAGACAAAGAAAATCAAAACAAATGAACGATTTAATAAGAAAGTTGAGAATTTAAAAGAATGAAAAAAAACATTAATGAGAGAGTTAAGTATAGATGTGAGCTCATTTTCACAAGATGCTCTTACATCATGGCCTTGTGCCAGATCAGGCTTAGCTTAGTAAATATGAAGGATGCTTGTTGTAGAGTAATGTCTCAGTAAGTAAATTTTGCATGCAATCGCTAATGAATTTTGTTATAACAACATCAATAATATTGATTATTATGATGATTGCAAGCATTTCCAGTCTAACTAGGGAATGCTAGGAGCAAGAAGGATCCAGTAAGCAGTTTTGGATAAATAAGTTGTTTAGTTTACTATGTCTTGTGTCATCTTTGTGTGGCTTTGACTTTTCAGCGGGTAGTCTCATGTAACTTATCTTTCCACCCTAAGCCCAGTTGGACAAATTTAATCTTAAAAAAGGTGGACCGTGTTTGAAACTTTGTATGAGACTAAAATGAGTTCTGATTAAAATCTAAAGAGAATCTTCTGTCAGTCTTGGAAGAATATGGAATCCACTTGGGTAGCTAGCTAATCCCTGTAGCAGACAACTGCTCTGGTACATTTTTGTGTTTCTTCAAGAGCCACATAGCTAATCTGTGGGTTATACTGCAACTATGCTGAGCAGACTGTAGTAATTATTTTGGGAGAGAGTGTGATCATTAGCTGAACAAGGCCAGTATGCTTGAAACCATGAATAAATACCAAATGGTTTTATCTGCCAAATTTCACTCACAAGGCTTGGATCAACCTATGGTATTGTTCTCAGACATTTCCTAATGTTACTGCATGCAAGAATTGCTGTTTCAGGCTGATATCATCACCTCCTTGACAAATTGACCACAGTGAAATTTGAACCCAGGTCTGATAGCCAGAATCCTTACATTCTAACCACTCAGCCACATGCCAGTAATATTAATTAAAGTGCAAGCTATAAAATAATGGTTAGCATGCTTGTCTTGTAAACTGTCTGTAGTAGTGTTGATTATCAGTAAGTGCTTTAATTTTGTAGCTGGCTGGGATAAACTTATAAAATCCAAACAAAATTTATAGAGAGAATGAAAGTAATGGAAAAGAGAAAAGAAAAACAAAAGGAAATTAAAATGAAAAAAGAGAAAATATGGATAAAATAGAAGAAAGAATAAGAGAGAAAAGAGACATCAAAAGAAGCAGAAGTTATAAAAAAAAGAGGAAAAGTTAAGTAAAAAGAGGGAGGATATATTTGATATAAAACAACAACAAAAAAAAAACAAAACAAAAAAAAACAGAGAAAATGGAAGCTGTAGGCAGAGATTTAGGAAATAACCAAAGTACTAGATCCATGAAATGATATATCGTAAACAAGATTTTGTGGAGGGGAAAGTTCAGAAGGAGGAGAAAGCTGAGAGGCAGGAAACAAAAATGGAAGAAGAATGTTGCTTGTTAAAGAAAAAGAGTGGGAGAAAGAGAGAGAGTATAAGAAATGTGGACAAAGCAAAGGGAAGAAATTAGAGATGGGTGGGGGAAGAAAGAAGGAAGACTGAAAGAAGAAAAGAGAGTAGGCAACAAGAGAGAGAAAAAAGAAAAGAAAAGATAATGAGTGTAAGAAAAAGAGTAATTAAATGAATGGAGCTGAACCAGTCAAGGCAAACTGATTAGATAGCTGTCTTTCAAGACAGGCAGCCGGTTGGAACAGGGATGGTGAAAACAGGCCCCCAATGCACAAAACACTTCATCATTTCATTTACCTGAAGAGCAAGGAAATGAACAAGTGAGTTATAGCATTAAACTGTCAAAGATACTTGTCCAATTCGTAATGGAACCTCTCTTTTATTTATAAGTTTTTTCGGTACTTGATTACCAGTTACATCTTATTTTTTTTTTTATTGTTACTGATCAGTTTTACTATTATTATTATTTTAATGGAAGCCATCTTATCTTTATTTCTCTCCTCTTTTATTTCATTTGAAGAGTTCTAACATGTGCTGGGTGACAGAAGACAAAGTTATTGGAGTGGCAATATTTCCTGCTTTACGGCCCTTCATTTTCTTTTCTTTTTAAATCTTTGTTTTTGAAAGATGATTTGGGCATTACTTTTAACAGCAGTTCCTAGAAGGAATAGAAATTTTGCAAGCCTACTTCATGGCAGACAAGTTGGCATCATTATCCAGTTTATGGTTCCTTGTGCAGGGAAGATGTGACTGATTTGATTTCAATGTCGGCTCTCAAAGCCGATTATTTCAGTCAGTTGGAGATGAGAGGAAGGCAGTGGATTACAAAAAGGAGAGTGAGTAACTGTGTGAAAATTTTTAAAAAAATGGTGAAAATATTTGGACAGATGAATGACAATAAGAAACAGAAACAAGAAACTTTGGGGAAAAGACTGAAATAGTTGCACAAAAACAAAAAAAAAAAATGGTGGTTCAAGCCAACTCTGAAAAACAGGCTCACAGACTTAACATTTGATATTTGTAGACTAGTTTACCTATGTCAACAAAAATAACAACATGTTTTATTAAGTCTTCACTTGAGTCATAACAAATTTAGTACATGTGATAAGGAAACTGAATATAGAAAAAGGCCGCATTAGGGGCCGTCTTCTCCAACACTGCAAGTTGCTACAAAACCTAAACATTAACCTAAGAACTGAAGTTATGTTCTTAAATAGCCTTGTCATATGAAGCCTTTCATAAAGATGCCATGATGCCATGCATCATGCCCAACCCATTTAGAAATGTCTAAAATGTCAACTGTATACAAACACTTTCTCAGATCAATGCTTAAAAATGGTTTCAAGAGAATGAATCTTGTAGGTTTTAGTGAAGACTATCATTATTCGAGCCTCGTGGACTGGCTCCACAGAATCACAATTAAAGAACTTTATCAAATAACAGAAATCCCATCACTTGAGGACTTTCAACAGCAGCAACAACTAAAATGGATAGCACATGTAAATTGAAGAGAAAATGTCATACGATGTTGATCTTCCACACTACTTTAAACAAAAAGTTAGAAAGTGACCACTATCTATAACAATTAGTGAGCTGGATAATGTTTTGTTCCTGAAAACTTCTTTTAATAGAAAGACTGTATAAATTTTAAGCAAATGTAACACTGGCTGTTGTATCAATGGATGTCAAATGTCATTATTTACATTACTTATATAGTTCAGATTGTTTCAGTTATTGTACACTTTGGCCTTTGAATTGAACCTGGGGAAGATTGTTCTAGTTCCATGTGCCATGCCTCTTCCAGATGTCTCAGTTATCTCCCTTTAACTCAACTTTTCAAGTTTTTGTTCACTCCTGCAGTAGCCAGGTATTAAACTCATAACTCTTTGGGTCAACCAACGCTTTTATCCATTGAGCCATGTATCCTTGAGGACATCATTGTATGAATTTTTGGGACTTATAAACTAAATGTCTCAGTAATTATTTTTTTACCAGAGCTTATATTGCAATTTTTGTTGTTATTCATCACTTTCTCTAGTACTCTTTATTACTGGTTCCCGTATTGTATTCATTTCTATACTTGGCTGGCTTAGGAGATTTTTGTGGCCTAGCATATGTGCTGATTCCTTAAGTTTTCTTCTATTTTCCATTGACGAAAAGTAAAGATGAGGACAACAATGTAAATAATTACAATACCTCATTTCACAAATATAGACAGATACCAAATGTCATGTTTTTAAAAGCCTTAACTATGAGACTTTCATATGGATGTCATATGCAAAGTACCCAACTCATTCAAATATGTCCAAAATATAGCTATGTTACACCCGCATTCTCAGATCATTGATTAAAAATGGCTTCAGGCAAATGAACCCTGTAGGTCTTAGAGAGGACCATCCTTCTTCAAACCTCATAGACTGGCACTACAGAATCACAAACAATTGTACCAAATGACAGAAAGCATATATCTTGAGGACTTTCAACAATAGCAACTAAAATGGAAACATGAAAAAAAAATAATGACATAATCAAAATATTGATGTTTCACACAACTTTAGTTCAGAGTGAAGTTTCCAACAATTCTCAAAAGAAACAGTTAACTTGAAAAAACTATTTTCCTGAAAGATCTTCAAATTCTTTTTAATTACTTCCTCTCAAGAAAGGCGATAATGCCACTAGGGTTACAGGGAGTGTAAAACAATGAGAACACTTTAGTGAGGAAAAAAGCAATAAAGGATCTGTGTTCAGGAAGACAGAAGATAGAAATTAACATTACATTTAAATTTTTGAAGATTGTAGGTGGCAGGGAAGCAAAAAAAATTGGAAGGGAATTCCGCAGGTGAGATGTGCGAGAAAAGAAACAGTAAAAATAGAAGTGGCGGCTGCATCTAGCTCTGCTAATCTAGTAGAATGCTTAAATAAATGTAGTCGAGACACCAAGGAGAAAAAGCTCTTCAAAAGAGTTGCCATAAAAATATGTGTGGAAAAGACAGAGAGAAGCCACATCATGTCTGTGAGAAAGCGACTGAAGTTGAGATGCCAGGTCAGGATTGATAACATTACAGACCCTTTGTTGTCAAAAAACCTCGAGGTATACAAGCAGGAGTACCAGATAAGATTTGATAGCAATATTCAATGCATGGATGAATAGTAGATTTATAAATGTGCAAGATGGATTCTGACGAGAAAATACCCAAGGCAAGGCAATAAAGCCATTAAGATGCAAGGGGGTTACTAAGTACAAAAGAATATAAGAAAAAGAAAAACATTATTAAAAAGAGAAGCCAATAAAAGAACAGGAATGAAGAAGACAGAAGATGACCATTGACAATGCATTTAAATTTTTGAAGATCAAAGTTGACTGGAAAGCAAGAGGCCAAAAGAGAATTCTACAAGCAAGAAACGTGAAAGAAGTTTTAATATAAAAATTTCTAACTGGCTGTTTGGTCAAATAATGCCAAATGTTTATATTTAAGGAAACAGCTAACATGACCATTACTATTATTAGATTTTTAAATGTCAGACTTTAAATTTATTTTTTCCATTTATTATACTTGCACTCAGCCATTTCTTAGAATCAGTCTTCATAAACATTGTTATAAAAAGACACTGTCACTTTTGGTTATGAACTTGCAAGTAGTGTAACAATTAGCAGCTCAGAAATGTTATGTTCACTTTCCCACAAATGACTTTGGGAAAGATATGAATCTATTCAGACATAAATATGTAATTAGTTTTAGAAAATTTTAAAATTTAAGAATGTTCATAAATATACTTCAGGCTAACTGAAAGTCAAGGTAAACTATGGAGGAGGCTAAGTGATGTAATTGAAACACTGAAGACAAGAGAAGCAGAAGAATGCAGAAACTTGGCGACTTTGAACAAATGAATAGAGGAACAAGTGCCACAGAGACAAAAAGGGGTCATAATGTTGCACGTACTGCTGTGAAAAAAAAAAGATGACATGAAGCTGTAGAGAATTATTGTTGCTAACATATTAATGGCACACAGCACAGACATACATATATATATATATATATATATATATATATATATATATATATTTTCAGATATCACAAAGCAATATTTTCTATTATCATCATCAGTCTAATGATCAGGTATGGTTGTAGAGTTGCTGTGGTTGTAACCAGTCCAAATATCTGGGCTGAAAATCAGACAGGTATCCATTCATGCATAGTGTGCCTTGGGTAAGCAGACCTGGAGGAACTCTCCAGGTCAAACCACA